TTTACAATACTCCAAAATCTCCCCGGCTGGGCGGGGCTTGTCACTCCCTACAGAAGGGGGGAGGGGCCGTGGTGGGGGAAGACAGATGGTCGTGAGGGAGCATATCTCATCCGACACGATAGCGAATTCAATACACCATAAATATACGGTGATCACCGCACGCGTTCTCCGACGAACATTTCATCTCCTTTTTGCCGAAAGTGTAGATTGAAAATATCAAAAGTTTCGTGTGTGATAACGTTTGATAGGAACTTAATTTCTACTGGACAGCTTTTGATTGGATTTTTTTTAAAGTATTTCGCTCCAATAATAATATAAAGATACACAAATTTATGTGATAGACAAAGAAGCTAAACTACAATGGAAGGGATCACCCGGCAAACGAGTGGGGAAAAAGAACGTGGGATGACTTGATAGAAAGAGCAGGAAAGACTGACTAATGGCAAAGATTGAAGCATCTGAAAAGGGTTGGAGGACGCCTTTCACCCAAGAGGGCGACTAACATTTAGCTATAAGGAAATACTAACAAACAAAAAAGGCTGATTAAAGGCTGAAATTATTGTCACAACTATATATTAAGTATTATTCGTGAAATCTGTTTGCTAGTTTAGAGTATTCATTCACAGACGCAGCACTTCATTTACACGTAATAGTTAATAGTTCTCGCGTACATAATGTTCATATCGTCATATAGTTATAAGAAACTCTGCTATCACGGCATAAAGTATAACGCGTTTAGTATTGTCTTTGATTAACATAACCTTTACACATTTAAAGAAAAACGCTTTTTACCGGATTAAAGTTATGTTTATTATTATAAATTTACAACTATTTGACATAATTTTAAATTTACAGCGTGCGTGGTCACGGTGACCACGCACGCTGTAAAGCACGTGAATGTATAACGCGTTTTTAAACTTGAGTGTTTGCTACGCGTGTGATTAGTCTTTTGTGTAACATAAATTCTACGAAACGAACTTTTAACTGCATTTCTTTTCTGTTAGTACTTTATCCTTGTGTAGAGGCTGTTTCAGCGCAGAGGAATCAGTCACCCACGTTGTCCTGGAATACGTGGCTGTGGCACTGGGCTTCTGGAAGGCTGGCTCAATAATTACCCAGGACTTTACACTGACCAAATGCGCGTCTAAGTTCGAAAACTGACCCCACAGTACTTTAGTTAAAACGATGGTTGATAGATATTGTTTATAACTTAACATCTACCGTTTAACAGTAACTGTTACAGCTAACTGGAAGCACTATCTACAGTTAATAATTGTCGCATTTGTTTTGAGTTGAAGATCGTAAATTGGCGGCGTGCGCCCATTTGTTATCGCGAGAGATATTTTAATAGCTTTGTCAACATATGACGCAAATTTTTGAGTAATTATAGAACGTATAAATACTGTTATTATTTCATTTGTATTAGGAGTGAATAAGTTTATTAAAGTTGATTAATATGATAAGAAGTTGAAGATTAAGTTTATTAAATGAATGATTCATATAAAATCTAAAGTCAAAGATTATTTATTGATTAACTAACGAATGATTTAAGGATTTATTTATCGTATTCCTCCTTGAGGTCGTAGGTTCGATCACTGTGCACCTCGACTTTCTATGTGCGCTATTAACTCTCGAACGTTGAAGGAAAACATCGTGAGGAAACCGGCTTGCCTTAGACCCGAAACGACGGCGTGTGTCAGGTATATTCTGATCACCTGCTTGCCTATTAGACTGAATAATCATGAAACAGATACAGAAATCTGAGGCCCAGACCTAAGAAGGTTGCGCCACTGATTATTATTATTATATAATCGATTTTTACCTGAGTTCATCGACAATGTTTTAAAATCTTCTTGCCAAGTATATACCATACAAACAATTATTTTCAGCCGAACAAATCAAACATTCCACCATCGAACTTCGAAGTTGGAAGAAGAATGCTATCTTTAGTTTTTTTGTAAAGAAATTTATATAGTAATTGATATAACGACTATTAGAAAATTATAATAACAATGTAACAATTATAATTACAATGCAATTAGAATTACAGAGAAATACATTACTCAGCAATCATGTTATGCCCATTTGAAATTCATTAATTAAAAAGGTACTGATTATTTTATCACTAATTGACAGTGTTTAATGTTTGTAACACGTTGGGGTTATGTAGGGAGGCTTTATCGGATCACATCCGCCGGAAGTGGGCGGAGATAGCGCGCCGCCATCTTGGATTATCGCGCAAGCGCTAACGACACCCGCGGGGATGGAACCTAGACTATTTAAATTTAGAACATTAAAAATTAAAAGTGTTCTTTATATGTAGTGTTTAATTTAGCCACACAAGGTGTTCCTATAGGTGTATTATATCCTGGTATTTTAGAATGTATCAAGTACGAGACATTCCTGGACCACTATGTTTTCAATAGGGATAGCCAATACTTATATTATACACGCGATTTTCTTTACGATCTTACCTGTACGCATATACATATATCGCAATTGGGTACACATATTCGTACTAAGGACCAGCTCGTACCTGACCTTTATATACGGGATATACTAATAAAGGCTATATTTACTTCCGCTGCCTTTCTGGCTGGGTATAATTTTCGAAAAGGCAAGCGCGCACTGATTACAATTTAGTTCTGAATTAATAAAATCCTACTATTAAATTACTTAATAATTACTAGGCTAACCATCAGACCATTCACCCTTGTCACACGAATACACTTCAACAATCGCGATCTATCGCAAAAGCTCGAAAAGCTTGATCGTTTAAGCTTAAAAGCTTCAATAAAGAAACTATTTAATATTAATTAGAATTGAGTTCTGAATTAAATTAATTAACTATACTATTTATTAACTAAGTAATTACTAGGCATTTAGTTTACACGAAAACAATCAGCAATTGCAAAAGAAAATGATCTTCGTTAAAGTTTGTATAAAGGAACTAATTTTGATCACAGTGCAATTAGAATTTTTCCATCCTAATATAGAATAAATTAATATACCATGTGTTGCGGGGGACGTTCGTAAATCAAGTGATAGCGGGCCATCCATCAAGACGCGAGCCACCATCAATTGCGACTGAAATAGGCATCCAAGCACTCTGAACGAACTCTGCGTAACTCACTTAACTGCTGTTTAAGCAATTAAAAAACATAGTTATATGTATAAAATAATTCAACATATGAAAAATCCTATGTTTGAGTGTATAAGGATTACATGTTTTTGTTATTATATTTAATATTACTATATTAACGCCCCTTATAACGCGAAAACTAGAAACACGAATTTAATTATTAAGTTTTTTTGTTTAATTTTATTACAACACAATTGAAGGTGCAAATCGCAAAACTAATTATGGGTTTGCAAATCATTTAAAATTTCACACTACAGAACTTGAGAAATCTCTGCGTTATAAGGGGGGAATACCGCTCATATGGGGGACGCAAATCGCGTTATAGGGCTACCGCGTTAAAGGTAGGATTACTGTACAAGTCCACCGACGGAGTGACGGCCTTCAAATTCTTTCATTTTTCGCTCATCTTTAGTAGGTATTTTTTCCGTTTTCCCTTCCTAAAGTAAGGGTCTTTTTGACTTTTAAGAATATACGTTATAATATATATTCCCAAGCATATTTAATAATTATTTTACCAACTCTATTGCCTCAGAATGCATCAGTTTTTATATTTATAGAGAAAATATTTCGAGCCATATATTTAATATATTCCGGTTTCCTCACGATGTTTGCCGTTTAATTAAATGCGAATCATAGCAAACTCCATGATAGGTACACGGCCTTTCGAACATAGCTCCTCAGGGTTAAGTCACACGCTTAAGACACTAGAGTTAGACCAATACTGTATATACGTATTGGAAATTGATAATTCGAATCAGTCATTATTAATTTATTTTATAGTTTTATAAAAATATTAATCAATTTATATTTAAATAGGATATATATATATAACATTTATATATGATATGAAATTTGTATGATATGAAAATTATTTTACAGTGGCGCTACAACCTTTTTAGGTCTGTGCTTCAGATTTCTGTATTTGTTTCATGATCATTTGTCAATTTAATAGGCAAGTAGGTGATCCTGTGACACACGCCGTCGACTATTTGGGTCTAAGCAAGCCGGTTTCCTCAAGAAGTTTTCTTTCACCGTTCGAGCGAATGTTAAATGCGCATAAATAGAAAGTCCATTGGTGCACAATCAGGATCGAACCTACGACCTCAGGGATGAGAATCGTAAGCTGAAGCCACTAGGCCAACACTGTTCGCTATGCAAGATTTTATTAATTTAGCTGTGAAGAAAGTTACTTGCGCGATTTTTCGGTTGATTTTTTTGGAAACGTCATAATAATATGACTTACGATAATTTTTTTATTGAACAAGGGGCAGCTCACCTCACCGGATTTTAGGTGATATCATCGCCGATGGACACTCAAATGCGTTGCTAAAAGAAAATTGTGTACGATTCTTTACATAGAGAGAACATCAATGGATGTCACTATCATACAAAACAGTAGTCACAAGTGTGGGCTGTGTATGTTATCGAATCTGTAATTAACCAGTCAGAATATATTAAAGCTATGCCAATGGAGAATGGACAAAATATTCATATGTTTAATTAGCGATACGATAAAACATTCAGTGTTATGGCACAAATGCTAACATCCAATCCGTTTAACCTAACTCATTAATAGACTGACGAAGTGCCGACGGAAAAAAATGTAGTCTCACTGAATCTATAGCACATTGGAGGCGGGGCAAATCGATACTCGACATCACCACGTCCCGCCTCACGCCCTCTCCCTCCCTCCAGTAAAACCTGACCTAAGTGCGAGGGAGAAGGGCGTATGCACCTCTCATTTGCTACGCGGCGTCCCCATGGGCGTACCCCGAGCGACGAGCGACCCGGCTAACCTGCCGTCAGTCAGTGCGCAACGGGCGAGGCGCGTGCGTGCGGCGCGTGATGTGCAGCTAAGATGCTGGTACCACCGGAGATGATGGCGGCGCAGTCAAAGCTCGTCTACCAAATGAACAAGTACTACAGCGAGCGTGTCGCCAGCCGCAAGGCCCAAATTGCCAAAACCATCCACGAGGTGTGCCGCATCGTTCAGGATGTGCTCAAGGAAGTGGAGCTGCAGGAGCCGCGATTCATATCTTCGTTAACGGACTACAATGGCCGCTTCGACGGCCTCGAAGTGGTCTCACCTCACGAGTTCGAGATCATCATCTACCTCAATCAGATGGGGGTGCTCAACTTCGTGGATGATGGCTCTCTACCTGGATGTGCTGTGCTCAAATTGAGCGACGGTCGCAAGCGATCCATGTCTCTATGGGTTGAGTTCATAACAGCTTCCGGATACCTCTCAGCGCGGAAGATCCGCTCCCGATTCCAGACGCTAGTGGCACAGGCCTGTGACAAGTGTTCCTATCGCGACTGTGTCAAGATGATAGCTGAGACCACAGAGGTTAAGCTCCGGATCCGTGAGCGGTATATCGTGCAAATAACACCAGCCTTCAAGTGTGCCGGATTGTGGCCACGTTCAGCTGCACATTGGCCGCTCCCCACAATTCCCTGGCCACACCCTAACATTGTGGCCGAAGTGAAGACTGAGGGTTTCGATCTCCTATCCAAAGAGTGTCTCACTCTACAAGGCAAAAATTCAGCTATGGAGGGTGACGCGTGGGTTCTGAGCTTTTTTGAAGCGGAGAACCGGCTGCTACAGGGCGGATGCCGTCGCAAATGTCTCAGCATATTGAAGACCATACGCGACCGGCACCTGGAGCTACCAGGGAACCCCGTCACGTGTTACCACATGAAGACATTGCTGTTATACGAGTGCGAGAAGCATCCGCGCGAGCATGAGTGGGACGAAGCGGCTCTGGCGGATCGGATAAACGGGATCTTTCTGCAGCTGATATCTTCGCTGCAGTGCCGCCGATGTCCACATTACTTCTTGCCCCATGTCGATCTGTTCAAGGGGAAGTCGCCGACCGCTATGGAGAACGCTGCCAAGCAGGTGTGGCGTCTAACAAGGGAGATGCTGACAAATTCGCGAGCTTTTGAAAAGCTGTGAAGTGTGTTCTGTGATGTTTTGTGACAAAGTGACGCGGCTGATGATCTGTGAGTAGCAGTGTTATTAACGTAGGTGTTTTCGAATATTATTTGTGATATAATGTAAATAGCTTACTTGTTGTACAATTTTAGTTATTTAATAAAAAATCGTGTATTTATTTGACTGAAATCTTTAGTAGTTATATCGGATATTATTATAATAAATATTTGAAAAATCTATAATCATTTTATTTAGACCTATGTAATAAATGTACCGAAAATACTGGGAATGGAAATCCTTAAATTGAATTAAAGTCAAAAAGTAGACAATCTAGAAAAGTTAAAATAAGTTTGTATGAATATTTTAACAGAAAAGCGAAGTATATCAACATATAGTAAACAGCGAAAACAATTCCAACAGACGTTTTTAATTACTAATTAACCTATTATATATTATATATGTATTAAACTATTTCCTTCTGTAATTTCACCAGCTTTTATAAGCGCGTTTTGTGGCAGATTGTCCGAATATACTTGACACTGTAACACAAGTTTTGGACACAAATAAACAGATCAACATTGCTAGTAATATATAGTAGATAATAATTCCATCTAATGATACCAATGTTATTCCAATTCATATCAAATCAATGTAAACAAAATATTGTAAAACCCTATTTTAAAAGAGGAAGTATGGAGTCTCTTTTCCACTCTTCTCCATTAGAACCTTTTGGAAGGAACAACAACTCATTTTTTTTTTAAATTTAACTTGTAATTTTGACTTTCAAAAGTGCCTTTTTATAGGCCTCATTGAAATAAATGATTTGACTTTGACTTACAAAAATGCATAAAAATAAAAATATTTTTAAGTTTTAGTTACAAACAGTTGAAGCTATAGGAATTGGTTATTGTTTTTAATTATTCTTAACTGTCTATATATACACAGTTATATATACTATTACATATAAAGTTAAATAACTAGTAAGAAAATCATATTATTACAAAATATAAGAAAGTTTCTGCTAAGCAACACATTAAATTTTATTAAATTGCGTCAACCAAAAACCATACAGAAAAAACATTTTTCCATCTATTTCAATTCATTACAATAGCCATCATCTAGAGACAAAAATACGCGGGAAATCAGAGCTTTTTTTAACGCATAAATTGTCAAACGAGGCAGGACATATTTAAGAACTAAACAACAACGGCATGAGGCTGTCAAATGCGTCACCGGCCTTTAAAGACGCACTCCGGTCTTTGATCTATGACTTAAACGTCAAAATTCAATACGTTCTTAACTAACTTCGCTGGAGCTACCTATACTATCAGCTGACAGTTTATAACCAGTATAGAACTAGCTGGTTGTACACGGGTAACACTGAAAATGTTTAGAAAATGAAAAACGCATCGCAGCCTATCATAGCTTTGTTGTTGAGTAAGCCCACAACGAAAGTTTTCTCGCGGTAGGTTAATTTTCACGTGTAAAAAGATTTTTAGATTTGCCGCCAATTCACAAAAACAAATGACAAATGAATGCAATATACTACATTAGGTTACCAAAGAGTTCTAAGATTGGAATTCCAAAAAGTTTTCATTAGCAATGTTTCTAACTGGCCAGTTCTAAACATTTTCAGTGTTACCGCGTATTGAGGAGGCTGGTCAAATGCCTTTACATCTTTGAAAATTGGGTGTGAGGGAATCAACATCAACACTGCTCAAAGCCGTACCGTTTACCACCAATTCACCGGTCATTAGGAGTCAATAGGCCTAAATATTATTGATAATTCCTTACACATCATAAATTCCTGGTACTTAAACTTATTATCTTGCTGAGATTTTTTAATGCAATTTTTATTAAATTGGCGATAATATAAAAAAATAATTATAAAATGATATGAACAATACAAAAGAATACATGTGTACAGTACTTTTACAATTAACTATATAAATAAACATATCACAAAGCGGATGAAATTTAAATACTACAAAGAATGTGAACGGTCTTCTTACTAAAAGGAGGTTAAATATTGAAGACTTAACGTGAAACAAACAACTTATATATACTTAACGAAAAAAGTCGTTAAAAATTGAAATCTTAATATATATAACGTGTCACGTTGTTTGTCCGCTATGGACTCCTAAACTACCGAACCGATTTCAATCAAATTTGCACACCGTGTGCAGTTTGATCTAACTTAAAAGATAGGATAGCTTACATCTCAATTTATACCCGCAATATTATTTTATTGCTAAATATTTGTTTATTATTTGATAGTCACAATTCTGACAGATGGCGCTGTGTTGACAGTACCAACGTTTCATATAAGCTGCAATTGAATGGCATTACCACCAAAAAAGCATGGTGGTCCCCATGACTGGTGATCTCCTACCGTTTCCCTTGAAAAGTTTGCTACTATGTAATATAACTAAAACCTTAGCCACACCAACGCTTGGCCGGTCTGCTAGCTAAATATAAGAATTACATATTTTGGTAACGTATATTTTTACTCTGCACTATATCAAAAATGCATGTTTAGGAAGGAATACTTTAGGAAGGTAATTTAGGTCTGGGCCTCAGATTTCTGAATCTTTTCATGATCAATAGACAAGTAGGTGCCTGACACACGCCGTCAACTTTTTTTAGGTCTAAGGCAAACCAGTTTAATCACGATGTTCTCCTACGCCGTTTGAGCGAATGCTAAATGTGCACATAGAAAGAAAACCCTTTGGGGATCGAACCTACGACCTCAGGGATGATTGTTGCACGCTGAAGCCACTAGGCCAACATTTCTCTAGGAATAATGGCGATATTTCAACAAATAGGGATTTTTAGCGTAACTTTTGTATTAAGTATTGATATATCTTTAAATAACGTATACTATGACGCCGAGGATATCATTAATGTTCTTATAAATACGATTATTGTACTATATCTTTAAAAATATAATAAATAAACCAAATACAGGTTCCGTCGCTGCGCCTACGCACGTTTTTGTACCTAATTTATCGGCTATTTCGCTCAAAACGAGAGAACACTGCGCCCGAGTACATTAAATGTCCCCTTAATGTTGTATGTAGGCGATATACAATTTATTTACGAACACTAAGAATGGAAATGGCACTTAGTAATTTCATATATACTATTATGTCATATTGGAAAATTAATCAAAACAATATAGCGGGGAAATAATAATCTTTATTCATTTTTTTCTCACAAAAACTTAGCACATAAACAAGTGACAGTTATATACTACTATCATCAGGGGTTGATCGTAGAGGGGTGAAAATTAGGGGTTGTATTATTTGTTGTATTATAACCATTTATCTAAAAATTAAAAAAATAATAATTTAGGGGTAGCCTATCCTTAAGATTTAGGGAGAGGAAAAATAGATGTTGTCCGATTCTCAGACATACCCAATATCGACACAAAATTTCATGAGAATCGGTCAAACCGTTTCGGAGGAGTTTAACTACAAACACCGCGACACGAGAATTTTATATATTAGATAAATAAATAATTGTCTTCAAGTTAGGGAAAATGTTAGTTTGTGTGAGACTAATGCCTGCTAAAGGTAAGAGTATCTGTGTTACAGGTCTTCAGGCCTCCACCACTTCGGATCGACAGAAGGTCTTTAAAAGTAGAGAAAAATTTAGAGAATATAGAGAATAAACAATCATTATTACATAGGCTGCAAAGTTAACAAAAAAAATATTCTGAAGGATACACATATAAGGAAACCACATGGGGTATATGTGTGTGTATGTGCGTGTATGTGTGTGGGTGTGTGACTGTGTGTTAGTGTGCGTACGTGAGTGTGTATCTGTGTATATATTATTACTTAATTGTTAATCTAATAAAGCTAAAACTATTACACTATAAATTATTACATTTATTACTTCGGGAAAACATCGAACCCTTGGAAGATGGGACGGGCTTTGGTATGGGGTGCTACTTGTGTGGACACGTTTGCCCCGTCTCACCTCCTTCGGACAAGCAAAGAAGCTAGGGCGGCCACAGAGCAGGTGGAAAAAATAAACGGCACAAATATAAGAGTCTCTCCTCCAACTTCGATTTTGTTCCCTTTGGAGTAGACTCTTGGGCCGTGGGGTTCAAGTGCAGAGCTAATTAAAGATTTAAGTTGGCGCCTGGTAGATAGTACTGGTGACCCTAGAGCTGGTGCTTTCCTCGCTCAACGATGATCGTAATACAGCGAGGAAATGCCGCCAGCATAAAAGGTACAAGGTAAGGTAGCTAAAATGAGAACTGCCAAATCTGATGCGGAGCGCGAAAAATATAAAGTAGTTCGCAATCGTTGTAATACTCGCTGTCGTGATGCTCAAAGGCAACATATCCACGACTCAGTATCCAATGGCGACACCTCAAAAATCTGGAAGTTCCTCAAAACCTTGGGGATTGGCAGATCGGCACAGAATGTTATTTCTTCAGCAATAGATATAAACAACCTTAACTCTCACTTCACCTGTTCTCCTGCCCACGATAAGTCTTCTCTTAGGAAGACAATCAATAAACTAGCTTCTCTTCCAACTCCAAACTTCATGCCTTTTAATTTCACTGAATTCACCGAGCGCGAAGTGGAGGGTTGCATCCAGTCTATCTCGTCGGATGCTGTTGGTTGTGATGAAGTTAGTCGTGCTATGATCTTACCTATCTTGCCAGCTATTCTTCAAGTTATTACTCATATTTTTAATTATCCAGTTACTAGTGGTAAATTCCCTACTTCTTGGAAGGATAGTCTAGTTATTCCTATTCCCAAACGGCCCGATCCCATTAACTTTTCTGACTTCCGGCCCATTTCTATTCTACCATTCCTATCTAAAGCTCTAGAGCGCCTTATACACTCGCAGCTTAGCGGATTTCTGAATAAAAACTCAATTCTAGACCCTCTCCAATCGGGTTTCCGCCCGGGGCATAGCACGACTACGGCATTGGTTAAAGTTTGTGACGACATTCGCCGAGGGATGGATGGTGGGCAGCTCACTGTTCTCACTCTGCTTGA